AAGTACCCTAAAAATAATAAAATTAAGTAAATAAAATTAATGAGAGAACGTAGCCAGGAACTCCCCACTCGACTTCATTTGATACGGGATATATCATTTCGGCATACGATGCTTTCCAATAATCAGCCATGTAATGATAACAATGTAAAGTGTGTGCTGGAAATCCTCTATGTATAGCCACTAACACTGCATGTGTACATGGAAAACTTTTCAACTGAAAATGTCTACACGTGTACGTGTTATCATTCAAGTCCACGATATTTCGATATTACGTCAACATCTCATGGAGAAATGAAATTGGTCTAATGGTTCCACACATACCTTTCTTGCCACCTCCAATGTCTTGAAGAGTTTATCTTTTTGAGCCGATGTTAACATACTTGTGCAACTCTGTGATTCCTCACGTCAATCATGAAACCACTGGTATAGTTTGTTACGAATGTGCTCAATTATTACTAGAATTAGTAAATCTCGATCCTTCTTGAATAATGCATTGAGCGACTCCGCATTGTTCGACGTCCTGAAAAATGTGATCGTGCCTAGTGTTCGATACTTTCATGCAGCATTTGATTTACTTTCTATTTCAACCATGAACATATCAAACTCTTCAAAATTGTAAGCCTCTACAGCTCTCCTAAACAATGTAACGATATCATTATCTAGATACTTAGTCTTCAGGTTGCTCTGTGTATGGTACATACAATAACCGTGATGTGCCTCGAAAAGACTTCGGCGATACCATTTGTTATTAATTGCCCCCGGTCAGTTACGAATGCAAGGTTCTCGACGTCCCCAATCACTTTCCGCAACTTCATGAATAACTAACGCATTGTTAGGTTATTCTCTCCGTCGACTATGCCGAATGCAAGAGGATAATTTTGGATGTTAGCATCTTGACATGTTACAATAATCAACTTGCCTTCTATCCAGCTTTAAGGGTTGTACCGTCGACTAGAATTAGGGGTTGTACGTATTTCGAAATCCTTGAATGTATTGTCTGAGGGCCATGAAGAAATACTTGAAACGATTCTCGCCATCCGTTTCAATAAAAAACGTCGATCCGGGATTAGTTCTACCCATATTATAGCAATGCCTGGCCAATTTAGAATAACTGTCCTCGATCGAACCCATTAAGTCCTCCAATGCACATTCATTAGCCTTCCAGACTTTCTGATAGTTCATGATCACCCCATACTATTAACGAACGTTGTTAATGATGTCCGAAAGTCTATAAATCGTTCGTGAGTCCTGAAACTTGTTCATTATTTATCGACCAATGAACCATGATCTGGCTTGTCTGTGATCATTTTGACAAATACCAACTTCGCAAGTATGTTCTCGTGCATACTTATGAACTACGAAAAACTCATTTGTGTCCATCTTCGTCGCCCGCAAGCGCCAATGGCAATTGTCGTCAATGCAGATAAATGTGTAAATCGACTTGTTTGATTTTTTTCACTTTAAACTCAAAGTTGTGTTTCAAAGCTATTCGATGAACAACTTCCTGCTAATCTTTCTTCGTTTCGAACAGCTATTAAATATACAAATCTTCATCATCGAGAACTACATGTTAACAATTAGAGGACTGTGTACTCGTTCCAACCTGTGAGCTCCCCTCGACTCATGTCTTTGATGAGATAACACAATCAAATATTGTTTGTAAATTCATTTTCATTTTCATTGTCTCCAACTGTCGAGGAAATTTTGTGCGTAATAGCAAGGAGCAACTGTCTCGGGAATAGGTACATCATTTTCATGGACTATCTCCACCGTGTCCCAAAAATCATTCACATCACGATCCCCTCCATCAGAATCTTCATGTTTACCCTCGGGGTTATTCTTCTTTGCTAAAATTACGCAAATAGGAGTCGTGCGATTCCGATTTAATTCAATTAAAATCTTCATTTCAGATTCAGAAGTAACTATTATAGACGGAATTGAAATGGACGCATGCTCGTTGAATAGAAATCCAATTTAATGTTGTACCGAGAAGGATCGACGCTGAGCATGTTTTGTAATTCATCGTACATTTCTGCATATAATGTACTATAACTCATCACAATTGCAGTAGTACCACGTCTTTCACCATCCATTTCCACACCTAACATTCATTTTCATTCATTTCAAATTTACCAAAGTAACAAATTGAAATTGTAGCTGATCCCATATCTGCATTAGGAAAACATAATTTATTTAAAAATATATAATTAGGAGATAAAAAAGAACTTCAAAAACCGTCCGGCTGGATCCAACGCATCGTAAATATCAGGTTGGGTTGGCGCGGATCCAGACGGACCTGACTTCTAGGCCGACTAGATCCAAAGAGCCTAGAAGTCACGACCCAGAAGGTAGGGCCGTCCGAATCCAACCGTCGGGAGCCCATCGTTCCGGGACTTATTCAAATGATTTTTTTTCGATTATGCTTAAAAAAATTATAAAATTGTCTAAAATTGTAAAAATTTATTTGTCTATGTAAAAAATAAGTTTTAATGATTAAAACAAGTTACTAATTCAACGAATACAAAATTAATAATACGTAAATATACTTACTGATTCGTAATGCTGGCTAGAAATAATTTTTTTTTTTGAGCGTTTGATAAATTTATGAAATTTCACGGTTGAAGCAGATGAAAAATTAAGCCGTCTTTGTCTGTGTTGGAGTAAACAATTAAAAAAGTGATTTGGTTTTGAAAATTTAAGTGGGAAGTATTTGAAATTTTTTGTAACTTAAAAGGGTATAATAATCTTTTAAACAATATCATTTTTTTTTTTTTTTGTAATTGTGTAAAAACTTAAGGGTATTTTTGTTTTTTAGATCTTAAGAATGGTAAAAAAAATTTGGAAA